ATCCATTTCAGATTTCCTTTAATCTGGGCCATCCAAATGGCACACCAAATTTTTATAATAAAATTCATAAAATGCCCAAACTTCAAACTTTAAAATCTTTTTCGTTATAACTCCAAATCACAAACCGTCTACGCCCACGCTTCCGTAGAGATGAGTACTATGAGGATATGTCAAGGAAACAAATCTTAGATGGCACGACACAACTATTAACCTCGAATAATGCGCGTGCCTCAAAGGGCATTTGTGTAAAATCCTTTATTAAAACTTTAAAAACTCTTAAAATCAAAGACGGGCTGTCACAATTCACTTACATCTTTATTTGTCTTTTTTCATTAAAAATAAAGTTTTTTAGAACTTTTCTTTTAGTTTTCCTATAAAAAAAAATTGTTCACAATAGTGCTCAAGTTATAAAATCCAATATATTATCCAAAGAAGGTAGGGCAGCTAGTGTGGCCTGTGGTGCTGTCTTTGAGAGTCTTCGGCTAGACTGGAGCAGTAATACGTGTCTCTGTGCAGACACTATGCTTAACATGGGGAGAGCACCATGTTGTTCAAAGGTAGGACTGCATCGAGGTTCATGGACTGCCAGAGAAGACAAATTGCTTATTCAGTATATGAACTCCCATGGTGAAGGTCGTTGGAGTTCTTTACCTAAAAATGCTGGTACAATAATTTAATATTTTTTTCTATCAAGTAGTCATAACTCATAACAATTTAGTGAAGTGACTTCTGTTTAATTTGGTCTTATAAATTGTATGTGATATTAATGAGTTGTTTTTGCTTAAATTGAAGGTCTTCTTCGATGTGGGAAGAGCTGCAGGCTGAGATAGATGAAACATCTCCGACCTAATATAAAGCGAGGCAACATAACACCCGACGATGAGCTTATTCTCCGGCTTCATGCCCTTCTCGGCAATCGTTGGCCTCTCATCACCGGAAGACTTCCCGGTCGAACAGACAATGAGATCAAGAACTACTGGAATACTCATCTCAGCAGGAGATTCAAAAACCCTAGCACTGGTAAAGGAACCGAGAAACAAAGTAACACCCGAAAACGAGCATCAAAACCACAATGTGTTCCATCTGAGTCCAAGAAAAATGACCGAGGTCATATTAGTGCAGACGATGGTAGAGTAGAAGAGGACACAACAATTACCAAGATTCATATCCCAAACGCTATTAGGGGTTCTCCGTTCTCAACCCGAATCACGTCATTTCTGTTGGACTTTCCTGTTATACAGTGATGTATTTTAGAAATGTGTAGGAAGAAGAAGTTTAGAGAGAAAGTGAAGAGGCAGAGAGAGTTCTCAAAATATCTCCGTGAGAGCCAAAAATGCTCTACTGCATATATTCATTCTTTCCTCAACATTTACATGACACTAGGGAGAGAGAAGCTACGTGAGCCTATGAGCTCATCATACCATTCATTACAAGACCCTATGAGATCTTGACACATGCTTACATCTGAGCCTAGCACAATATAATCTAATCTCAGCCCTTGATCACAAACTGATTTATTTACACTTGCTAAGGTAAGGAAAATACAGTTTAGACCTTAATCAACTAACACTCCCTTCTAAGGTCTTAACTGAGATTACCCCAAGCTTATCCCTCAGAGCACAGAATCTGTCTTTAGCAAGTGCTTTGGTGAAAATGTTAGCTAGTTGCTCCTCACTTTTGCAGTATTGCAGGTCAATTGTTCCTTCCTGAATTGCATCTCTGATGAAATGAAACTTCCTCTTGATATGTTTAGACCTCTGATGGAATACCGGATTCTTTGACATTGCAATTGCTGATGTGTTATCACACATCAAAGGAGTTGGTTCGATCAATTCTTCACCAAAATCATGCAGCACAAATCTCAGCCATGTAGCTTGAGTGGTGGCTTCTGAGGCACTCATATACTCGGCTTCAGCAGTTGAGAGTGCAACACTCTGTTGCTTTACAGAAGCCTAAGAAAATGCACCACTGCCAAAGCTGAAAGCATACCCTGATGTGGACTTCATGTCATCTTCATCTCCACTCCAATCACTGTCACAAAATCCTATGAGTAGAGCTGCATTTCCCTTTTCATACTTAATTCCATAGTCAACAGTTCCTTGCACATATCTGAGGATCCTCCTTGCAGTGCCAAGATGTTTAATGGAAGGACAGTGCATGTACCTGGCAAGTACACATGCTGAGTACAAGATATCAGGCCTTGTTGCAGTTAAGTATAGAAGGCTGCCGACAATTTTCCTATACAATTCTTCATCTGCAGCTTCACTCCCATCACCTTTCCTTAGTTTATCCGTGGGAGGTAAGGGTATTGAGACAGATTTGCAGCTCTTCAAACCAAACTTGTCCAGTAAACTCAGTGCATACTTTTTCTGGTGAATAAAGATACTCCCTTCTTGTTGGATTACTCCAATTCCAAGAAATGATGCAACAAGCCTAAGTCGGACATCTCATACTTGTTCATCATATCACATTTGAAATCTTCAATCATTTCTAAACAGCTTCCAGTATAAACTATGTCATCCACATATATAGAGACAATCAGAGTTTCTTGTCCATCCACATGTTTCACATATAAGGTGGCCTCACTTGGACTCTTTTTAAATCCACTCTGCAGCAAATGAGTATCAATATTGCTGTACAAAGCTCTGGGAGCTTGTTTTAGACCGTATAAGGCATTTTTTAACTTATATACTTTGTGTTCTTCTCCCTTGATAATATACCCATCTGGCTGATCTGTATACACTTCCTCTTCAAGGATCCCATTCAGGAAAGCAGACTTTACATCTAACTGGTACAGTTTCCACCCTTTCTGTGCTGCCAAAGCAATAAGTGTTCTTATAGTGTCCAATCTAGCCACAGGTGCAAACGTCTCATTAAAATCAATTCCGGGCTTTTGAGTGTACCCTTTGGCAACTAATCTTGCCTTGTGTTTTTGTACAGTGCCATCCAAATTCAATTTGGTTTTGAAGATCCATTTTACCCCAACAATTGGTTTGTCACTTGGCCTATCAACCAATCTCCAAGTGTCATTCTTCTCAATCATAGTAATCTCCTCATCCATTGCTTTCTTCCAAGCTTCATCTTGAGAAGCTTCAATGTAGTTCTCAGGTTCAATGACACTGAGTCTACACTGAGCAAACACTTCATTCAGATCTCTCCACTTTTTTGGTGTGTTGTCATAAGTTTCTGTGAGTGGAATTTCACTCTCCATATTCACAGTGTTAGGAGCATCATTGTGTACACTGGAAACATACTCACTTCTTGTATTTGGGCAAGATAAATTAGAGGAACTAATATTAGTTTCTTCACACACACCATTTTCTATCTCAGTTATGCTTATACCTTTATTAGCTTCTTAGAAAGGTACTGAGAAATGCACAGTTTCCATATTCTCCCAATTAAGAGCAGCATCTTCATAAAAAATAACACTCCTTGAGACAATGATCTTGTTGTGTTTCAAATCATACACCCTGTAGCCCTTTTCTCTTGTCCCATATCCAACAAATACACATTTATGTCTAGTTTCATCCAGTTTCTGTCTTAACTGGGTTGGCACATGAGTGTAGCAAACAGAACCAAAGATTCTCAAGTGTTTTACCCCTGGTTTTCTACCACAGAATTCTTCAAAAGGAGTCTTGTTCTCTAGTGCTTTGGTAGGACACCTGTTAAGCAGGTAGATAGCAGTGTGAACTGCTTCACCCCAGAACTTGAGTGGTAATTTTTTTTTATAGAGCATGGTTCTTGCCATCTCTACTATGGTACGATTCTTCCTCTCAGCAATACCATTTTGCTGGGGAGAATAAGCAATAGTGAGTTGCTTTTCAATACCAACATCTTCACAAAAAAATTCAAATTCTAGAGATGTGTACTCTCCTCCTCTGTCACTTCTGAGTTTCTTCAGTTTGTAACCAGTTAGTAATTTAGTCATGGCCGTGAACATTTTAAAAATTCTGAATACCTCAGATTTGCACTTCAGAAAATAGACCCAACATTCTGGACTTGTCATCTATGAAGGTAAGAAAATACCTGCTACCTCCAAGTGTCTCACTCATGGGTCCACACACATCTGTGTGTACAAGTTCTAAAGGCAACTTTGCTCTCCATTTCTGTTCTTTGCTAAAAGCCTCTCTGTGAGCCTTTCCAGTAGCACACCCTTCACACACCTGATTGTACTCCTTTAGATATGGCAGACCATACACCATACTCTTTTCTTGTAGCATTCTCAGGCTGTCATAGTTTAGGTGCCCAAATCTTCTGTTCCATTTCCATGTGTTACCTTCAGTGGTAGCAATATTTGCTACAATATGATCCACATGATTAAACATTAGTGGAAAGCATCTATTTCCCTTCATTTTCACAGTGACTATATGATCTTGCAGTTCACGATCTCCAAATATGCAGGCCATGAAATCACCAAACACCAACCAATAGTCATGTTCAACCATTTGTCCTACACTGAGAAGATTTTCATCCAAACCAGGTACAATCATTACTTCTGGTATGAACCGAGTGCCTCTTTTGGTCTCCACAATCAGTGTGCCTTTGCCAACTGAGTCAACCAATTCCCCTGTGCCCATTTTCACCTTACACCTTATACTTCTGTCAATGTTGATCATCAATGATTCAGTACTGGTCATGTGGTTACTGCAACCACTGTCCAGATACCAAACTCCACTATTTTCTTGCACAGAGGCCTTATGACAGGCATAGAACATCATTGCATTATCTTGAACATGATTCAAATAATTTGCAGTATGATTTTTCTTTGGCTGGTGACAATCTCTCACTACATGTCCAAATCTGTTGCAGTTATGACACTTAGGTTTTCCTTTGAACCAACACTCTCCATGATGAGCCTTATCACAGATCTTGCACTTTTGTTTAACACCCTCAATGATCTCACCCTGTCTTTCAGGCTGTCGAGTGTTGTTTTCCCACTTCCTAGACATAGACTTCCAATTCTTCTTTCCCTTACTGTGATTTCCCTGTGTGTGAGTGGCCTATTTCTGTGCTTTAGGTACAAGACCCATAGTGGAGAAAGCATGCTCTGTGCTTGTAATTTCATCAACATGTCTACTCAATCTAAGCTCATAACTCTTAAGAGATCCTACCACTTCTTGCACAGTCACAGTATTCAAATCAGAAGTTCTTTCAATCACAACACAGATTGGATCATATTTACTGGACAAACTAATCAAAACCTTTTGCACTTCTCTTTGATGAGTGAGGTTCTCACCATAAGATTTCATTTGATTAATTAATTCAAATAGTCTAGTAAGATAGACAGATAGAGATTCATTCTCCTTCATTCTCATATACTCAAATTCACGACGTAAACTTTGAAGTTTAACAGATCTTGCCTGTTCATCGCCGCGAAACTCCTCCTGGAGTAGATCCCAGGCACCCTTTGAGGTCTCTTGATTCACAATCCAAGGGAAGATCTCCTTCGAGACAGCACTCTGAATAATGCCCAGTGCCTTAGCATCTTTCATGAGCTGATCTTCCATGTGTGCGTCCAACTCGTCATCATCTCCTTCATCATCATCCGATGAGGATGAATCTTCCTCATCTTTCTCCTTCTTTGTTTTCTTCTTTTCTCCTTTCTTCTTCGATTCTGGAATAGCAATCCCTTTGTCAACCAATTTCCATATCCCATACGATTTGAAAATGGTGACCATTCTCACTTTCCAGAACTCGAACTCCGTTCCATCAAAAACGGGAGCTCGTAAATCACCGCTTCCAGATCCAGCCATTTAGCTTGAATCGGAATGAAATTGAGAGATTTCACGTTGGATTCTCTCACACAATTTCACAGAATTCAACGCCCAGTCCGAAATCGAACCTAGGCTCTGGATACCATGTTGGACTTTCCTGTTATGCAGTGATGTATTTTAGAAATGTGTAGGAAGAAGAAGTTTAGAGAGAAAGTGAAGAGGCAGAGAGAGTTCTCAAAATATCTCCGTGAGAGCCAAAAATGCTCTACTGCATATATTCATTCTTTCCTCAACATTTACATGACACTAGGGAGAGAGAAGCTACGTGAGCCTATGAGCTCATCATACCATTCATTACAAGACCCTATGAGATCTTGACACATGCTTACATCTGAGCCTAGCACAATATTATCTAATCTCAGCCCTTGATCACAAACTGATTTATTTACACTTGCTAAGGTAAGGAAAATACAGTTTAGACCTTAATCAACTAACAATTTCATCCTGGACAGGGGGATCAAAACAAAGAACAAGAAGATGGTTGGGAAGACTCCCCGTTTGTGAGGTTTCTAATCTTCATGTTTTCTGGTCTGATTAGATTAGCAAAAATGATTGGGAAGACTCGGTTTGTGATCGATAGTTTTAAAGATTATGACTTGGCCTGCCAAAATTCTGAAATTGCTGCAGCAAGAGTTACAGCTATAATACCATTGAATATCTGTGAAGAACAATTTATCAAGGCACAAGAACATGATCATTTGGAGTCTTTTGTTGATTCCTTGTTGATTTGAAAGAGAGCAATGTTAGATTCTGTAAAACTCAGGCGTATTTGTGAGATTTGTACTGGAAGAAATCAAGAAGATGATCAAATTGAATCTGTAATATTTTGTAAAAAGTGTCCAATCAATAAGTAACTTCATTCTTGATTGTAATAACTCAAGTGTAAACCCTAGCATTTGCCGCAATAAATGCAGCATCAATAAGGACCCTAATAATACCATAAGTATGCAATCTAACCTGAACTTGCAGCCATGATTGATTTGTAGAAAGGATTCTCTTCTCTTCTCTTGTACGAACAGCAAGGAAGCTCTCACGGTTTCAAAGGGACAACCCTTGTACAAAGTGAACTCCTATATTTGTACCTAGAAGAGAGACCAATCCCACTCACATTTTGGTAACTGCCTCAATCCATCAATGAGACAGTTACTTGCATTTTCGATTTAGCCAATTGCCACATTAATTCATATGTGACATTAACATTTTCCCTCCAAAATGGATTACTTAATCCGGATACAAAACCCTAACAGGTCCAACTGTATGTATAGCTCATTCACTTAGTTTAGCTGCAGTCCATAATTTGATGAACTCACATGAATTCATACATAATGAAATCATATGAATGATTACATGTAATTCACAGAGCACAAGTCATGCTCTTGCTGGTATTTTTTTTTTTTTTTGGGGAACAAATGATATTATTTACACTAAGGGAGACGGGGTGGGCTTAACCTCACAATGGATCAGCCATAATAATGTGGTTCAAATTCTCATTTGACGAGAATCGAACCTAAGACTTCTCACTTACAAGTGAAGATGAATACCACTAAACAGTAGTACTAAGTGGCATTCTTGTTGTTGGTATATTCTCAATAGAACAATGCAAAATTAGCCGTTAGGCTTTTACAAGAGAGAGCCTATGAGCTCATCTCAGCCATTCAAGACAATGCCCTATGAGACAATGTCACTTGCTCACATCTAAGCCTAAGCATTAACAAGCTAATCTGAACCGTTCATCTATAACAAACTATTGACACCTCAGTCAAATTTAAACAGATATGATAAAATCAGTTTAGACCCTTAATCTCAAGAAGCATTACACCGAAACCAGAACGCGAAGCAGCACAATCAGACATCAAGGGAGTCTTTCGTCAACTGAATACTGGACCAGTTGAATAAGAATGGAATTTATAATGTGCTCATGCTCCCCATAAACTGGTTAGTGGACGCTACAAAACCAGCAATACAACACACAGACAAGTTGTGTTTTAAGTGCAAAACATTTAAGCGTTGACGGGTTCAATGGCGCATAGCATGGAGGTTGCTCAAGATTGCAGTAGCAGAGTTGCTCGGTCGAAAAGTATCGAAAATAGTGTTGTCGTGCAACTTGATCAACTGCATACGCTTCTTTTCGTGACATATTCAAGGGTGGTACTCCAGGCAGCGGAGAGACCTAGTGAACTGCACCATCAATATCAACATTGTTGTTCATCAATTGAATTAAGCATTTACACCTATTGCTAATGGTGCTCTTTTGGTCCCGTTCGTATCCCTTTCCGAACTACTTTAGATTTTATTCCGATGGTATTAAAAAATAAAATCTGATTGGGAGGTTGGTTAGTTAATTAATTACGATTTGTCTGCCACTTACGTTTATAGTTTGCCAAATTGATATGATGCTAAGCTTACTTGGTATGAATTAAGTTACGAATTGAATAAGTCAATCAACTAATCATGTGATTGTATAATGTGAGAATGACATCTTTCTTTATTTTCATGCGTTACTAAACACATGGAAACTTGAAATTAAAATAATTCCAATATCCTCGTATTTACCAACACATTTGGAGTTAGGAACGGGAATAATTCTAATACCCATTCCAATTCATTCCAAGTAAACACGTCATAAGTATAACCAATAAGCTAATGGCCTCGGACACTCACCCGCACAAACCCTAGACTACTCATGTATTGTTCCCATGGTAAGTACGGTACATAGAATCAAATAATAAACATGCAACATAACATCATAGTTCCGTATACATTGCGGTTACAACGTGAAGGACTATGGACATTTATCTTCAAAAGGGCCATAAGTCTCCCCATATGGCCTTTCGGGCCTGCAGATGTAATGTAGGGTTCTTACTCTTTGTGACAACCACTCTCTGAAGCTCGCCTTCTGAACCATCTCGTTCGGTTGATCGACAAACATCCATTGTAACCTGCTTGCCCCTTCGTACAGGCATATAGATAATCCTACCCCAACCACCACCAAGATTAGCATGACCTGTTTCATCTTCCTCATCTTCGTTATTTTCATCCACTACATCAGGTTCCATAACATCGGAATCATAGTTAACTGGATTCAATTCTTCAAATGGAACAAGGTCAACTTGCTGCGAGCTAATTAACTCATCTGTCCAGGTCAAACACAAATTCTTAGAACCCAAGAAATAAGAGTTAACAAATGGCCAGAATGTTAGTATTAATCGAATACATCACGTAATATATTGAAGACAAAGTTCATTATATGGGGGGCTCTCAAGATGTATGTAGTGAAGGATAGTCATTTAAGACTTACCAACGTCAATTTCAAGATCTTCTGGACTGCGTTTAGCATGTTGCTCCTTTAAAGTCTCAAATTTCATACCATCAAGCGGCCATGGTTCCCTAATCACATTAACCAGTGCAGCCATCAGAGAAGAATTCACGACACGAGTATATTTATGAATAAAAAGAACCGAACTGTGACGGAAGTACATATTTGGACAAGAAATCTTTTATTTAGAAAGTTATTGACTGGCTTCATTCAAAATATTTATGACTGTGATCACTTAATTAAGGTCATTGACAGTTAGTTGTGTTTAATAAGAAAGACACTCAATTAGCCAAAACAAAACCACACGATGACAGATTAAACCCGATTAAAAATTGACTAAACCACTGAATAGCTTTATGAGAATGGACTTTTAGGCTTCCATTGTCTAAGAAGAATACTAAAGCTCCCACAATCCACAATGTTGAACAAAAACACAAAAAAATACCAACCGTGGTCTTTGTCCCCGCCTGAAAGCAACGAAGCTAAATTTCTCATCTTCAAAGCCACGTAATGGTTGCCCACCCTTGGACCGCTACAAAAATATCAAGGTACGTAATATCAATTAAAAAGCACGTACTTTAATCATAATGTAACAGGAAAGGAAAAAGGAAAAAGTTGTGGTTCCAACTGACAACTGGATCCAATGAAGTGTGCAAGGATTTGAGGATGAACCTTGAATGCACGCTGAACAGATGTCCTCTCCAAGCGCTGAACAAAATGACAATACTTTCCAGCTTTCTCCAGCGGACATTGTCCATCATGAGAGCACTACATCAAGAAAACTATAAAATAAAATGAGAGAATTCATACTATTAGGAAAACAAAAGAGAAGCTAAGCAACATATTAGTTTCGAAACAGAAAAATATGAGCTAAAGGGCTCTTGTACTCACCGGCGCAACTATAAATGCACCACTCTTTTGAGTCACCAAGTCCTTGGAAGCTTCATCAGTTCCATCTTTAGATTTGCGGCATTTCTAAGAAGTGATGAGTGTGTCAATTATGAATGATTGTAAAGATGCAATGCCAGTACATAACTTGAACAAGCATCTTAACTCAAAAGTCATCTCAAAGAACAAATAACAAGAAAAACAACTTACCCTTTTTTCCATCCATAATATATGCGAGCGCATCTGAGATATGATACTAGATCCTTGTGGTGTTCCAGGTTCAATCAAAACCTAGGAAAATTTTAAGAAAATCTAAGGGTAAAAATATTAGGCTGAAAATTGGAAAATTCCAAACTAAAAACTGCCATGATAATGATTATAAAAGGGATAGTGATACGATTATCAGTAATTCTTTCTTTAGCCCCTTTACGAAATCGATTGTCAGAAGAGCATAAACTACATAATACTTGCCTCTTAGTTAATGGCATAAACCAGGGCATAAGATCATACAAAATTGTTTTGTCATGAAATCATAGTGAAACACAAAACTCATCCGTCCGTAGAAGGAAAGCATACCAGGACATCCCGTGTAAGATCCCAGAGCTGGCGTACTATAGTAATTCGATCCTTGAGTGATGGTATCTCTCCAAGCACATAGGACTTCCGTTGCAAAAAAGAACAAACAGAAGTTATTGTTTGTATCTAACATTCCAAGGCAAACATGAAGTTTGAAATTTATAGAACTTACAGCAATTACAAGGTCATGTTCTCTCTC